TTCATGTAGTGTGACTTTGGTGCGACTTTGATGTGACTTTATTATTATTATTATACAGGATTTATATAGCGTCAACAGTTTGCTCAGCGCTTTACAATATAACGGGAGACAATACAGCAACAATACAGTTCAATACAAGAGGGATAGGAGGCCCTGATCCTTGGAGCTTACAATTAGAGATGAGTGAATTATTAAAAAATTTGATTTGGCTAATTCGCCGAATTCACGGAATAAATTCGATTCGAGGCGAATATATTCGCTGCAAATTTAACTTATAAAAAGGGTGTTTCTAGGCTTCAGAGAGCCTTTATATTAGTGCAGAACACTGTACCTTTAATTTAAATGCCCTTGGAGTCTGCTGGGGAAGAGAAATAATACTGTCAGTCAGTATGACATGCAGATGAGTGCCGTCGATCTTAGAATCACCGCACACTTCACTCATTTGGGCAGTCACGGGGCCAAAACCAGAGTGTGGAGCCACAGTGTGGCGGTGGAGGCAGCAGCAATGGGAGGCCATACAGCACCCTATGACAAAATGGAACCCACCAGCAGTGTGAGGAGACCTAAAAGTGGCACATGGCAGAGTGTGGCGATGGAGACAGCAGTAATGGGAGGCCGTACAGGGACCCATGACACACTCTGGACCTGGCAGCAGCATGAGGAGGCGGTACAGGGGCCCATGACAGATTACGGGCCTGGCAGCAGCATGAGGAGTCGGTACGGGGGCCCATGGCAGATTACGGGCCTGGCAGCAGCAATGGGAGGCCCGTAATCTGCCAGCACCCTATGACAAAATGGAACCCACCAGCAGTGTGAGGAGACCTGAAAGTGGCACATGGCAGAGTGTGGCGATGGAGACAGCAGCAATGGGAGGCCGTACAGGGACCCATGAGACACTCTGGACCTGGCAGCAGCAAGAGGAGGCGGTACAGGGGCCCATGGCAGAGTGGCGAAGCGTAAGCAGCTTAAATTGAAGGCCATACAGAGGCCTATGTTAAAAATAATAACATGTTTGGGGCATGATTCATGGCGGATTTAGTCAGTTGTGTCAGGAACTGGTGGTTTGAAATCCAGACTAATCCACGCCTGATTCATTTTCACAAACGTGAGTCTCTCCACACTTTGGGTGGACAGTCGTGTCCTCCGCGGAGTTACAATACCTCCTGCCGCACTAAACACGCGCTCCGATGCCACGCTACTGGCCGGGCATGACAGCCTTTCAAGGGCAAATTCAGCTAGTTGGGGCCAAAGGTCAAGTTTCGTTGCCCAGTAGTCAAGGGGATTGTCTACCTCGGTTGGCAGGGTGCTGTCCAAGTAGGCCCAAGCCTGTTGTTTGAGGTCCTGCTCCAGGTCCACCTGATGCTGCTGCTGCTGCGGCTGGTTAGTAGTTTCCTCACTGCGCTGGTGAAGAAAGCTACTCATCATCGACTGCAGACTGAGGCAGCCGCTGCTGGTGGAGCTGCCACTGCTCCTACCACCCCCACCCCCTCCCCTGCTGCCATGGCAGCGGAACGCGAGCGCACAGGGCCCACAGTGTCTGAGGATGGACGTTGGCGCACAAAGGCAGAGACCAACTGACTACATAGGTGGTTTTTTTTAGTACGTTATTTTGGCCTCCCTCTCAGCAGGTGTGAAAAAGGCCACCATTTTTGAACGGTAGCGAGGGTCCAACAAGGTGGACAGCCAAAAGTCATCCCTCTGTCTGATGGTTATTATTCGGCTGTCGCTACGCAAGCAACCGAGCATGCTATGGGCCATTTGTGCCAAGGAATGCGAGGGACTCCCTGCCTCCATCTCCACAGCATACTGCCACGGTGCGTCTGGGTCCTCTGTCTCCTCCTCCTCCTCTCTACCAGATGCTCCTGCTCCTCCACTCCTGTCCGCTGAGTGGAAAAACCACCCATTTCACTCAATAATTCCTGAGCACCAATGTCCTCCTCTACCTCCTCCTCTTCTTCCTGTCCTGCCCCCACAGGGGTCATGTGGCGTTGAGATCTGTGCGCCACGTCTACCGCACCCTGACCAGCCATTGTTAACAGCATTTGTTCCAGGACGTGCAACAGAGGAATGACGTCGTTCATCCCATAGTCCTGCCGACTCACGAATAGCGTGGCCTCCTCAAAGGGCCTGAGCAAGCGGCAGGTGTCACGCATGAGCTGCCAATGGCTGACATCGAAGTTACACAGGGGAGTACCTTTATCCGCTTGTAACATCAGGAAATCGGTGATGGCCTTTCGCTGTTCGTAAAGGCGGTCTAACATATGTAGGGTTGAATTCCACCTTGTTGCAACGTCGCAGATCAGGCGATGCTGTGGAATTCCGTTCTGCCGCTGCAGCTCAAGGAGGGTGTGCTTTGCGGTGTAGGAATGGCTGAAATGCATGCAAAGTTTACGTGACATTTTAAGGATGTCTTGCAGTGGGATGGTGGATTTTAGGAACCGCTTGACAACCAGATTGAACACGTGAGCCATGCATGGCGCATGGCACAACCTTCCTTGACGCAGAGCAGACACCATGTTCTTTCCGTTGTCGGTCAACATGGTTCCGATTTTCAGTTTGCGCGGAGACAGCCATCTGTCGATTTCTCTGTTCATTACACTGAGAAGTTCCTCCCCTGTGTGACTACGTTCGCCAAGGCATACCAGGTGCAGCACAGCGTGACACCGTTGCGCCCTGCACATGTGATATGCCGGTCGGGTAATGGGACTTGGCACGGGGGTGGCGGCTGAGGACACGGTGGAAGAAGAGGTGGTAGAGGCGGACATCTTTGCTGGACCAAGACGTGCAAACGTGGAGGCAAAAGCGGCGTGACCTGTCCAAGTTGCTGGTGCGGCTGTGCCGGCACCACGTTCACCCAGTGGGCCGTAAATGACATGTACTGTCCCTGACCGTAGTTACAGCTCCACACGTCGGCGCTGCCGTGCACTTTGGCAGAGACCGACATGCTCAAAGACTGGCCCACCATCTCTTCTACATGTGAATGCAGGGCTGGCACTGCCTTTTTGGCGAAGAAATGCCGGCTTGGCACTCTCCACCGCGGCTCGGCACAAGCCATCATTTCTCGGAAAGGTGCTGAGTCCACCACTTGGAAAGGGAGGGACTGCAGCACCAGCAACTTGGACAGGAGGACGTTCAGCTTCTGCACCGTCGGGTGCGTGCTCGCAAACTGTTGTCTCTTGGAAACGGATTCCAAGAAAGACTGCTGACGGAATCCGTGAAGAGGAGTAGCAGGAGAAGGAGCATCTGAACAAGCGGAAGATGCCAACGAGCGACAACTCCCCTCAGCAGAGGTGTTGGAGCCTTGACTGGCTGATAGAGGGCGATTGACGTCGGGTGACGGAGCAAGTAACGGAGCGGGTGATGGAGCGGGGGCTGGGGCAGGCAGAACCGCCGTATCTTTATCACGGTTTTCCCAGGCCACCAATGGCGACGCTGCATATGCTGACGCAACGCTGTAGTCCCAACATGGGCCCCCTGGCCACGCTTGACTTTCTGGCCACATAGTCGACATACGGCTACGTTTACTTCCTCGGGCGGCTTGACGAAAAATTTGCCACACCGCCGAGTAGGAAACTTTGCCCCCGCTACTCCTCACTGGCTGACTGCTACTTCCTCCGTGCACACCGGCACCACTACTGGCCGTGGTGGTAGGCTGCAGTGGAGCTGGTGCTCTACTCCGTGGCCGTTTGCCTCCACTGACACTGCTGCGACCCTGCTGCCTCCTGGGCAACCCACCGACTGTTTTGCTCGCTGGCAAGCTGGCACCCTCTTCTCCTGATGATGCGGAAGCAATAGCCTGATGACGACGAGGCTGCCAAGTGCGATCAGCCTCATCATCATCAATTAGGGTCTCCGCCTCACTACTAGCCCCCTCGGCTGCGTGTGGGTCAGGAGACAGACCTGTCTCTAGACCGGCTACCGAGCCACTCTCCTCGCCAGTACTTCTTCGCCTGGCTGCTGAAGAGGCGGATGTCTCCCCCCGTTCCTGACCGCCCTCTGTTAGCTCTTCCTCACTGTACAGTGGGGCTGAGCCCACAGCATGCGATACTTCGCTTGGTGAGGGAACACCAAAGGACAGGGGCAGGTAGAGGACACGTGATTTCAGTGGGCTTGCTCCCGGGCCATGCCAACTAACGGTTGTGTCTGACGTACCCACCGACCGTTGGCTGTAGGTGTCAGAGGTGACCTGGGAAGAGGAAGACGACCGAGTCAACCAATCGATGACGGCAGGGTTGTCGGTGGAGACACGACCGCTGGATGACACCGGGAGCACTGGCCTCTGGCTGCGACTAGTGCTGCCTCGACCCCTTCCTCTGCTGCCACGTCTGCTCGCTCCTGAAACATTGCCTCCTCTGCCACTCCTCTGTGTGTTGTCTGACATACTCTTTAATTCAATAGTGGTTGTGAAGCAGAAAGTAACGATTCTGTGTCCCTGAGTAACAATTCTGTGTCCCTGAGTAACGATTCTGTGTCCCTGAGTAACAATTCTGTGTCCCTGAGTAACAATTCTGTGTCCCTCAGTAACAATTATGTGTCCCTCAGTAACAATTGTGTCCCTGTGTAACAATCTGTGTCCCTGAGTAACAATTTCTGTGTAACAACAATTCTGTGTCCCTGTAGTAACAATTCTGTGTCCCTGAGTAACAATTCTGTGTCCCTCAGTAACAATTCTGTGTCTGTCCCTGAGTAAGAATTCTGTGTCCCTCAGTAACAATTCTGTGTCCCTCAGTAACAATTCTGTGTCTGTCCCTGAGTAACAATTCTGTGTCCCTGAGTAACAATTCTGTGTCCCTGAGTAAAATTATGTGTCCCTCAGTAACAATTCTGTGTCCCTGAGTAACAATTCTGTGTCCCTGAGTAACGATTCTGTGTCCCTGAGTAACAATTCTGTGTCCCTCAGTAACGATTCTGTGTCCCTCAGTAACAATTCTGTGTCCCTGAGTAACGATTCTGTGTCCCTGAGTAACGATTCTGTGTCCCTGAGTAACAATTCTGTGTCCCTGAGTAACAATTCTGTGTCCCTGAGTAACGATTCTGTGTCCCTGAGTAACAATTCTGTGTCCCTGAGTAACGATTCTGTGTCCCTCAGTAACGATTCTGTGTCCCTCAGTAACAATTATGTGTCCCTGAGTAACAATTCTGTGTCCCTGAGTAACAATTCTGTGTCCCTGAGTAACGATTCTGTGTCCCTGAGTAACAATTCTGTGTCCCTGAGTAACGATTCTGTGTCCCTGAGTAACAATTCTGTGTCCCTGAGTAACAATTCTGTGTCCCTGAGTAACAATTCTGTCCCTGAGTAACGATTATGTGTCCCTGAGTAACAATTCTGTGTCCCTGAGTAACAATTCTGTGTCCCTGAGTAACGATTCTGTGTCCCTGAGTAACAATTCTGTGGCCCTAAAGTCTCTGTGGCCCTAACTCTGTCCCTAATACAGACAGGTCTGTCTCTCTTGAATGACCGGAGGCTAATGGAGAATTCTAAGATGGCCGCGATTTATAGCTCCACCATTACACAGTGCTGGCTGGCTGGCTGCTGATTGGGTAATGCGATCACATGTCATGAATGAATGCGCGAATGAATGCACGCCTTGTCTGCGCGCCTTCCCAGAGATCCCCGCTCCGTCGCCACACATGTCGCCGCCATTTTTGGGAAAATTCGATTCGTGCATCCGAAGTTTGCTAATTTTCGGATTCGGCGCGAATCAAATTTTTCCTAATCTTCGAAACGAATTCCACTTCGTCATGTTTGATTCGCTCATCTCTACTTACAATCTAAGAGTTTCATGTGACTTGAGTGCCAGAGAGTGAAAGGTTGCATTAAAGTTGCATTAAAGTTGCACTACATGAACAGAACTGTCAAACTTTCCAATTAGCAAAAAAAAAAAAACCCAGCAAAACACATCAAAAACACATAAAAACTCAACACTTGTGTTTTTGGCACAGGTCCATTGAAGTCTGTTACAAGCAAAACGAAATATAGTGCCGGAAAAAAGTCTCTGACCCTTTCCATAAAAATGCACCATGACAGATGTGAACTAGATCCATAGGCAACTATGATAAATGGACTATAGTGTGTTTTTGCAAACTGGAAAATGCACTTAAAGTGGGGCTCCAACCAAAAGGGGAAGTTCCGCTTTAAGGACTGCTCCCCCGCTCCCCATTAACCACTTCAAGTCCGGACACTTTTACCCCCTTCCTGTCCAGGCCAATGTTCAGCTTTCAGTGCTGTCACACTTTGAATGACAATTGCGCGGTCATGCAACACTGTACCCATATTAATTTTTTTACCATTTTTTTGAGACAGATAAAGCTTTATTTTGGTGGTATTTATTCACCGCTGGGATTTTTATTTTTTGTTGCTATATAAATGAAAAAGTCCAAACATTTTGAAAAAAAGTGTTTTTCTTATAAAAGTTTGCAAATAAATAATATTTCATCATAAATCTTGGCCAACATGTATTCAGTTATCTTTTAGTAAAAAATGTACGTTTTTATTTTATTTTTTATATTATTAGTTATTATTTCTTTTCCACATACTGTCACCCTAGCAGTACAGTGTCACCATGGTGACACTGTACTACTTGTGGGGGGTGATGTTTTTTTTTTTTTTACACTGATTGCTTTTACACCCATAAAGGCTGTAAAAGCAATAATTTCTCCTTCTCTTTGGCTGCATTCTTGCAGCCATTGAGAACTACTGTGTAAGCTGTGATTGGTCACAGCTTGTCACATGGTACAAGGCTGTTGTGAATAGCCCTGTACCATGTGACCTCTGTGATCATTCACAGATTTCACATGTAGTAAGCAATGATGTCAGAAGTGACATCTTGCTTACTACTCTGCATGTGATCACTGATTGGCCAATCAGTGATCACATGATCAGGACCTCACACAGAGGTCCTGTATGACAATTGGTGTTCCACTGTGTCCAGAGTACACAGAGGGGACCGGATCGAGGTGCTGCGTGCTCCCAGGGAGCGTGCACAGTCCAAAAAGGGGGGCGCTGTTTATGAACGGCAACCTGCCCTTGGACTGCCACCGTATATACAGCGGCTGGACAGCAAGTGGTTAAGGATTGGCACCATTGGGGGGCGGGTACCCGAATTTGACAGGTACTTGCTCCCAATTGTGGTCGGACCGCCTAGGCCATCGGAAACGGAAGGTGTCCTCCCTCCTTCCCCCCCTGTAGTCTTCTGGGACACGTGACAGGTCCCAGAAGACTAAAGAACCATTCATGAAGCGCAGCGCTCCTCGCACATGCCCAGTGGGTACCTGGCTGTGAAGCCACAAGCAGTCACAGCCGGGTGCCCACACTGAAGATGCCGGCCTCCAGGAATCCAGGATGGCAGGTGTAATGGGCTGCGGGGGACACACCATGGGACCGAGGGACAGGTAAGTGGCTGTTTTTTAAAAATCAGAAGCTACTGTTTTTGTAGAGGCTGACTTTTATTTTTTGACAGGGTCAGTGGAACTCCGCTTTAAATCCTCATGATTGTGAACCTAGGGTCAAAACGGACATAAGCAAATTGATTGTAAACAAATAGCAACTGTTTACATTTGTTCAGTTCCGTTTCAATGGATCTGGATGTTGGCTGTTCCATTTAAAAAAACCAACCCTGAACAGATATGGATTATTATTATTATACAGGATTTATATAGCGCCAACGGTTTGCTCAGCGCTTTACATTATAGTGGGGGACAGAAAACGAGACAGCACAGTAACAATACGATACACGAGGGGTTCGAGGGCCCTGCTCCTTGGAGCTTACAATCTAGGAGGGAGGGGATGGTGGTACAAGAGGAAATAGCTGTGGGGTATGGAGTGGTAGGAGGAGTGGAGGAGATCGGCAATTAGCAGAGGGCGGGGTAGGCTTCCCTGAAGAGGTGGGTTTTCAGGGTGGATGTAGGCAGATATAAACAGATGATCATTTGTTTACATTCACTCACTCATCGATTTACATCATGGTTCAATCTGGATCCATCTAAAAAACTGACAGATCTAGACTGAAAACTCATGTGAAAGGGGCCTAAAGCCTAGTACACTTGATGAAAATATAGGATGAATGATTATCCGTTGTTTTGGTTTTTTTTTTTGCATTCTCGTAATGCAATGCAATGCATTCTCGTAATGCAACTTTGGAAGTGATGTAATGTATTGTATTTGTATTGTGTTTTCAGACGAAAACTGTACTGATTAACCAAAAATCATAGAATCTGGTATCTTACGAGAAACAATTTTGTGTTGGTCCCTATGACAGACAGCAGAAATATTATTTTATTTTTGTATTGTTTTGTTGAACTCCACAGGTTTGGCCAACAGTCAGCCTGCCTGCTCTTTGAAGCTAGGAGTTCCTGTGCCCCGCAGGGGGTGGGAGATGAGGTTGATCTCAGCAGGGGGCCCAGACAGCATGATGTCCTGTGGCTGTGAAAAGCCAGATGTGTCAGCACTGGGTGCTTGTGGCGTGGTCAAATTCAAAAGACAATAATGTCCCTATGGGGGGAGAATGGTCAGAGTTTGAGTCAGGATGGAGAAAGAAGCAAATGGATGCAGGCTTTGCTAGGAGATGCATTGAACTGTGCTTTGATTTGTGCACTGCTGGGACTTGTGGTTCTACATTGCCTGTGTTGTCTTGAAGCTGCTGCCAAGACACACAGCCCTCTGAAGACCCTTGAGGAGTTGGTGCCTAGCTGGCTAGACTTCCTCTGCTGAGGCCACTGTTGGCTGGTGAGTCCCTGAATTGCTACCCTGTGCTCTGCCTGTCTGCTGTGTGCCACCCCCTGTGAGGACCAAACCTGGAAATTGTCTACCAGAACTGCCCCTCTGCTGTGTGCCCCCTGTACCTCTGCTGTGTGCCCCCTGTACTTAACCATTGTCTGCCAGAACTGTCCTTCTGCTGTGTGCCCCTGGACTTAACCATTGTCTGCCAGAACTGTCCTTCTGCTGTGTGCCCCTGGACTTAAACATGTTCTGCCAGAAGTGCCTGTGAAGTGTGCCTGGATGTAACCAATTGCCCTTCTGCTGTGTGCCCTTGGTTTTAACCATTGTCTGTCAGAACTGCCCCTGTGCTGTGTGCCCCCTGGACTTAACCATTGTCTGCCAGAACTGCCTCTGCAGTGTGCCCCTGGACGTAATCAATGTCTGCCAGAGCTGTCCCTCTGCTGTGTGCCCCCTGGACTTAACCATTGTCTGCCAGAACTGCCCTTCTGCTCTGTGCCCCTGGACAAGGGCCTCCTCCCCACAACCCTGGGCGGTGATTGCGGGGGTCTGCAGGTGGGGGGCTTATTGGAATCTGGAAGCCCCCTTTAGCAAGGGGCCCCCCAGATCCCAACCCCCTCCATGTGAATGAGTATGGGGCACATGGTACCACTACCCATTCACAAAAAAAAAGTGTAGAGTGAAAAAAGACAGGAGACAGTCTTTGACAACACAAAATAAAAGAATGTCCCCCGGAGTAAATCCAACATCAATCACAATGCCACCCGAAAAAAGGAAAACAAAAGGCTCCGCTTCCAAAGCTGGCTCCTGGCCGTCTGACTGCTCCGCTGGCGTAACAGTTCTGAAATATATAAGGGGCGGGGCCACCCTGGAGCATCACGTGTGTGACCCCGCCCCTTGTGGCATCATCAACCGGGGCATGCTGGGTCATTGATGTCACAAGGAGGTGGGGTCACACACATGGTTTCACTGGGTGGCCCCACCCCTCACACATATTTAAGAAATTGCAAGCCAGCTGAGCAGGCAGACTGCTGAGAGCCAGTGTCAGGAGCGGAACCTTTTCTCTTTTTTTCTTTTTTCGGGTCGTCGTCATCAGGAATCGTGATTGGCGTTGGATCTACTTCGGGGGACACTCTTTTATTTTTCTTCTTTTGATAAAGGACTTGTCAAAGAGTGTCTCCTGTCTTTTTTTCATACTACATTGTTTTTTTTTTTTTTTTATGTGAATGGGTAGCGGTACCATGTACCCCATACTCATTCAACTGGGGAAGGGGGGGGGGCAGGATCTGAGGGCCCCCTAAAGGGGGCTTCCAGATGCCAATAGGACCCTCACCCAAAGACCCCCACAACCATAGGCCAGGGTTGTGGGGAAGAGGCCCTTGTCCCCATCAACATGGGGACAAGGTGCTTTGGGGGGAAACCCCCCATGTTGAGGGCATGAACCTGGTATAGTTCAGGGGGGGCATTCACTTGTCCCCCCCCCTTTTCCTGACCTGCCGGGCTGCATGCTCGGATAAGGGTCTGGTACGAATCCTGGAGGGGTCCCCACGCCATTGTTTCTTAATTTTGGCATGGGGGTTCCTCTCA